TGGAACGTACTAGTTGCAATCAGTGATAAGCAACAGAGCCACTCCCCTAATCTAGATTCCATACCTCTAGGTGCCAATGACATTACAAATAGAAAATAGGTCAAAAATTCCAAAGTAAGTTGTTGTAAATGGAAAAAAAGCATCGCTTTGCTAAATTCAAGAAAATCATTTTTTTTTTTGAATTTACATTTGTGGAATAGTTTCTCAAATATGAGTTTAAATTATATTTTAAAGGCAATTTATATCTTTTAGATCTTAGAATACTTTTTTTTGAGTGCTGGCACTAATATGTATATATTTTTGTGGACATGTCTGTGTGTGTGTGATGTATACGCCCCGTTTTTTTCATTTGATTTGTCTATTAGTGCCCATGTCTGTCGCTCTTTGTTGCTGTTGTTGTTGTTGTTTTTGTCACTTGTTGGCGCCCACCTACGTTGTGACGTTTATAATTATGGCAAGTGCAGTGCCGTGTGTACGTGGGTGTGTGTGTGTGTTTTTATAGCAAACAGCAAATAGATAGTCAGATACTGCATACAAGTATTACTCGTAGGTTGCTTTGCTTCTTGTCCATGTCGGAAGCAATTAACTCTCACAGTGGACGGTGCGTCAGTGGCATTTAGTTTGATGTTGCTTTGAAGCTGTTGTGTGGTCCTCCACATAGGTATAACACTTACACACACACACACGCATAAATAGCTACTTATTTATGACCACTATCGACTATTGATGTACAACTACCGACAGTTTTCTGGCCGCAGCGATAAGACAACCCTCACAACCAACCGCTGTGCTATTATTCCACATTATATTTTTAATAATAATAGTCCACGTGCATGTCCGAAAACTTATTTGCCTAGACGGTATTGTCCGGGTCTTATCAGTGACGTCATTCTGAATTTGTAGAAAAAGTATATTTGCGGTTTCCTTTTTAATTTATGCGACCGCCTATTAGACACTTGCTTTTAATTGCCAGTTTTTTTTTTTTGGTTATTCATAGAACATTTCGTAGAATTGAATTTTGTGTCGAAATTTCATCAATTAAGACGTTCCAGGCATAGAATTTTTCCAACTTGAATTTAAGCGGGCGCACACGTGTGCGAGCCTTATCGAAAATAGATTACAAATAAATATAATATGTACATACATATGTACATACATATGTACATATGTATGTATGTACATACAAATATATAACCATTTTTGGCACGTTGTTGGGCCATTGTTTTACAATCTAAATTATTACTTCAACAGAAGAAACAATATTTATCGTAATAAATATACATATGTAAGTTTAATTCTTTTTATATGCATATTTTTACCCATTATGTATGTTCGTAGAAATGCGAAAGGTAAAATCTTAAATGAGAATACATGTTAATGGATAGAATGCTCCAAGCAACAAATGAATAGTTTTTTGGAACTTGATGTTTATAATTTTTCGAAAGGGTAATAAAAATTAATTTAATGCTGTATTAGTCTTCATATTTAGTATATTAGCAGTGTTTTTCCGCTAGTTGTTTTGCTTTTTTTATAAATATCAATCAACATGAACCTTTTGTTCTCAAGTGCCAGACACTTGAGTCATGCACTGTACAAACACACACACACACTCACACCTCTACACGCAGCACTGACTGTTTAGTCAGTCGGTCATTGTCAAGCCCGCTGTGTTCATCCAGAGCCCCCTACACCAGCCATCATCTTAATGGCGCATATTAAAGGTGGAGCTTCAATTGCCATTTCCGTCCGCACTCACCATCATCACCATCATACACACAATAACAGTACATTCCATGATTATACAGTACATGATTATACACACAGTGTATAGTATTTACAAATGAAAAGAAAATTGCTGACGCATCACATCCAACATGCTGAGGTACAGACTTGACTTACCTTTTGTGAAAACGCGTGTCGAACGTTGACCACAAAATCCGTTTCTGGCTGCCATTTTAATTTGTTACTTTTTGCGGCTTTGCTTCTCTCTTTACAAATGCACGCATTCAATTGATAACGAAGAGCAATAACAAAAGAGCGCTCTCATTGTTGTTTTTACCGTACAGCTTACCGTTTCACGTATTAGCGCGCGATTTGCAGTTTAATGCCCGCACTTGAGGTAGGCGTATTACATTTGGCTCATTCTCTGTTGTTGTTGCTGTGTATTTAACGTGATAAAGCAAGCGCTCGTGTATATGTATATGTATGTATTTTGTTTGTGTGCGTAAGTAGGTTTTTGTTTGTTTGTAACTTCGTGCACGATAACGTGTTTATATGAGAGAGCGCAACAGGTAGTCCAACAACAAGCTAAAACTCGTTTCTTCAGACGCTAGCCATCTCGTTTCCACGTTCGGCACAGGCACTAACAAATTCCATTTTAATTTTAGCAGGTGGAACAACAAAAACAAAGCCACATATGGCGGAAGCGGAAACAAACATAATGATCATGATTACCATCATAAGCATTCACTCAATCATCGCATTTACATACATGAATAGGTCGAAACGAAAAACCAATTGTAGTTTTGTTCACTCTTTAAAGAAAAACATACTTTTCCGTCGTTTTTATGCGCAAATTACTACAAAATAAACAAATTAAGCACGAACAAAAATAATTGAGGGTATTGTGTATTATGTATTTAACAATGTACATATGTATATATTTCTTCTTTTCACATCCCAAATAAATAAACACAATGTCACGTTAATGCACAAACTAATTATGTAGGCCTTTGTGGCCTTTTAGTAGTTTAATAAAGCGGGCGCCTCGCGCCCTCCCGATGATGTCATGTCAAAAATTCATATTTGTATGTATGATGAGTATTGGGATGGTTTGGTGAGTGTAAATTATTGTTAAAGTATTCAAATAATGACTCAATGGGTTAAAAAAATAACGGCCATATATAAAGCGATGAATGTTACTATGCAAAGATATATGTACACACATACATGTACAAGCATATACATATATGTGTATTTGTACATACATACATATGTACAAAAGTTAATTGAAATTTATACAAATATTTGAGTAATACAACAACAATAAAAACAGCAACAAGTACTCGTGTGCGAACGGATCTCAAAGTCCAGCACCAGTGGTGAGACATTGAAGACTGCCACCACTACGAAAGCAAACCAATAGAACTACTTAACAGCAGGTTACGTGTTTAAGTTCGTATATTTTTAGAATATTAATGCCATCCACATACTTGAAATTAATAATATAGGGTTGATACTGCCAAGCCAAAGGTGCATAACTTCAAAAACGCAAGAACTTTAAAAAATGAGTTTTTTTTTAATTCTCTGGGTAAATAACAACATTGTTAATAAACTCAAAAAAAAAGTGCCGGACCAAACCTTTAGGTCAGTCCAGTTTTCTCATTAAACGCGCACATTAAATCGCCATTAAAATAACTTTTATAGCGCCTGCTGATAAACAACGAAACAGCCGATAATGTCATGAACTTTACAACAATAACAAACAAAAAATAATGACACATTAATTATATTTGCACGAATAACGGCGGAAAAATAATTGTAAATAAAAACTGAGGTGAGCGACAAAAGTTCAACGGCTGCTGCAGAATAAAGCAAAGCCAAAAGCATAAACAACAGCAGCAGCAGAGGAAGCTAACGTTAAATAGAATGAGTGCAGAGGGGAGTGTAGGTGAGACAGCAGGTCTGGCAACACATGTTACCATATTGAAGCAGACAGCACTGTGAGGGCGGCGGTGGCGGCAACACACAAAGTACCGCAAATCATTCAACGCATCAGCCTAAGTGGAGCCTGCACCCATCAGCGTCAGTCATTCTACACTTTGTTGTTATTGTTGTTGTTGTTTTTGCTGCATAGATTTACCTTTAAACAAACTTGCACTTTGATGCGAACCAATTTGTTGCCAAACTAATCAAACACTATACATAAAACAACAAAAATTATACACACAACACACACGCACACATGGAAATGCATTTAAAGTTTTATGACTACAGTGGCGTTGATTTTCTTGATTAGCATCTGCTGAAACATTTGATTTGTTTTTAGTATGATCTTTGTTTATTGCTTTCTTCAATCCGGCCGCGCGTTTGTTTATTGTTGTAACACATTTTATTGGCGCTTTGTCGCAATTGAAGTTCGATTTTAATTAAACTACGCAACACTTTGTAAAGTCAGATAGAAACGCACGCACAATAATAAGAAACCAAACAAGAATTAAGAGAGAGAGTAAGAGAATGCGCGCACGCAATGCAACCTTGCGTGGGGCATTTGATGGTCTTGCTGTTGTTTTTTGTTTTTATTTTGTTTTGTTTTCTACCTTTGTGCTCCTCTATACCTGTCCTTACCACCAGCAAGGCATGTCGAGTAAAATATTATCGCCAGCCCTTTCGCACCCATTGGCACTTGCGCTTGCGCTGTGTTTTGTTTTATCATCTTTCTTCATTAGTTTCTGTTAGTCGGCGCTTGTGGCGACTGCGTTTGGTTTCGGGTTGTGCGCGAGTTTTCGTTTTAAGTCCCTATGTTTGTTTTAATTAAAGTTTGCTCTGCGCGCAAAAAAAAAACAATAATTTATGGCCTCTATTAAAAGTTTTTAATCCGCTAGAACAAAAATAATAAGAAATGTATGCTCAGGCATTGCCAAACTTTATAAATGGCTCGTGGCCTGCGCTGTATGCTTTGTGGTCTCGCCTTGAGGCAAATTAAAAACCCGTTAAATTGGAACAAAAAAATAAAACGGGGAAAGAAATAAAAACAAATAAATACGTTTTTGTTATTTTAAACAAATTTTATTACCTGTGCGTCGGCGTAGCCTCAAAGATGCGCATAAAAACAGCCATAGAAACAAAACTAAAAGCAGCAATAACAACCCATAGAGCAGCGTCAGAGCTTTTAGATTTTTTAGCAAGTGAAGCGAAGGTGATTTATGCTGATTGGAAAACTGCAAAAGCAACACACTTGGAAAATATCATTAACCATCTGTTCTCTTCTTCTTTTACAGACCTGCAAAATATGTAACAAGACGTTTGCGAATGTCTACCGGCTGCAGCGCCACATGATCAGCCACGATGAGTCTGCACTCCTACGCAAGTTTAAGTGCCTCCAATGCGACAAGGCCTTTAAGTTCAAGCATCATCTGAAGGAGCATGAGCGTATTCATTCCGGCGAGAAGCCGTTTGGCTGCGACAATTGCGGTAAACGCTTCTCCCATTCCGGCTCCTTTTCCTCGCACATGACGTCCAAGAAATGTATCAGCATGGGATTGAAACTGAACAGCAATCGTGTGATGCTAAAGACGCTCGAGAAGAATGTGTCCAATAATGTGGCTGGTAATGCACGCTCCTCACCGATGGAGCAGCAACACCAACAAGAACCACAAATGCCAAGGAAGCGCACACAAAAGCTGCCCGAGCTGCCATCGCTGCCAGGACTGCCACCCACTCTGCCTAATCCGATGATCTACTTCGCCAACGATGCTCCGCCAGCGGCTGCAGCTCCATTGAACGCCAATGTGCCGCCCTTCTATCCTAACTACAATGCCATGAATGTTCTGCTATCCTCCTTCCCCAACGCCATCTACCAGATGGCTCTCGATCCCCGCATGCAACCCTTTGGCATACAAAGCCTTTTGCTGCAGCAGCAGCATCAATTCCACCAGCAGCAGCAACAACAACAACAGCAGCAGCTGGAGCAGGAGCAGGAACAGCAGCAGCGTGAAGAGCAGGAGCTGTACGATGATGAGCTAAAAGCCAAGGATGAGGAAGAAACACCGGACGAGCCAAAACTGGTGATGGATTTGGATGATAACGAAGACAAAGAGCGAGAACCCACTCCCCGTCAGCCATTGCCCGAGCAGACGCATGTGGAAAATGAGTCTGTGACACAACAGGCAAATCGCGCACCCACGCCCACAGTCATCAACAGCGAACCAGTCACGCCCAATTGCATCAAACAAGAGGAGCAGGAGCAGCCAGAAGTGCAGCTGCTGGTGCAGCAGGAGGAACCTCACGTCCTGCCGAGCCGGCAGAATAGCCCCCTCGATGTCACGGCCGCCGACTTGCGCTGTAGTCGCTGCGACAAGCAATTCAACCATCCCACGGAGCTCGTGCAGCACGAAAAGGTGCTCTGCCACATCAAAGAGGAGCTCGAACAGCAATACCAGCAGCGCCAGCAACAGCAGCAGCAACTACAACAACAACAGCAGCAGCAGCAGCAGCATGAAGAGCCCAATGGCCACGGCTACAGCGAAGCAGATGGCGAAGACGATGAAGAGCCACATGTGGACACAGAGGAAACGCGTCACGATTTCAATGGCAGCGACAGCGGCGAGCGCAAGGTGCGGGTCCGCACCGCCATCAACGAGGAGCAGCAGCAACAACTGAAACAGCATTATGCCTTAAATGCGCGTCCAAGTCGCGACGAGTTCCGCATGATTGCCGCACGTCTCCAGCTGGATGCTCGGGTCGTCCAAGTCTGGTTCCAGAATAATCGCTCGCGCGAACGCAAAATGCAAAACTACAGCAACAGCAGCATTAGCAACAATAACAACAACAACAATACCAGCAACAATATTGTCAATGAGCCTTCTGTGCCGCGTAGTGGCGAGGATCAGCCGTTGGATTTGTCGCTCAAACGTGATGTGTTGTCGCCCAAACGCAATGGCCTGCAAATCCACTCTCCCCTTTACGGAGAGGCCCCACAACAGGCTGAGAATAATGGTCCCCTGGATTTTCAGGAGGCCATCAATCTGAGTCGCAAGCTTTCGAACTCTGCATGCTCCCTATCGCCATCATCGCTATCGCCCTCATCGGGTACTTCAGTGCCACATGCCTTTAAGCAGCAGCAACAGGCAGCCGCTGCAGCCGCCGCTGCTCTCTACTTTGGAGCACCACCGCATCAGCCACAGCCTCGTCAGACGCCCTCGCCGCCAACACATGAATCCGCTCAACCGCTGGGCAGTTCCACGCCACGCGGCAATGCCACCTTTCCCGGCCTGGCAGCTCATCTGCCGCACTTTATGCTGCCCGGCGCCATGCCACGCAGCCTAATGCCCATGGATGCACTTTACCAGATGGCGCCCGGCCCGCTCATGAACAGTATTAAGCTGCCCGATTATCGGGGCACTAGCCTCAGTCCGGGCTCGGAGAAGCGCTCCTGGCGTGATGACGACTCACGCATCTCGCACGAGGACGATTATGGCATGGGCGGTGGCCTGTTGCCTCCGAAACCCAAACGTGCCAAGGCCGAAACGCATGGACATGCGGGAGATCCGGATCTACCATTTGTGTGCGATCAGTGCGATAAGGCCTTTGCCAAACAGAGCTCACTGGCGCGCCACAAGTACGAGCATTCCGGTAAGTGGTTAACTCCAATTCTCATAAGAAGTGAGGGTCTAAGAAAAGTGTTTTTATTTTCTGAAATTTTCACAACTTTCTAAAGATATATTCCAATCTTGGTGTGGAGCCCCATCGATGTACTATTCTATAGTCAAATAATTTCAGTACATTCGTATGTTTGCATTATTCCTACATCTGTTGAATAATACCTGACTAAAGCATCACCTTTTATTTGTTTGCAGGCCAGCGACCCTATCAATGCATGGACTGTCCGAAAGCCTTTAAGCACAAGCACCATCTGACCGAGCACAAGCGTCTGCATAGTGGGGAGAAGCCGTTTCAGTGCTCCAAGTGCCTGAAGCGGTTCTCCCATTCGGGCAGCTACAGCCAGCACATGAACCACCGTTACTCCTATTGCAAACCCTACAGGGAATAGGTAAGCGACACCTCAGTGCCGCCCACCTCCGCAACAGTGGCAGCGACGACGATCACGACGTCAACGACGCGTGGACGTCGCAGCAATGCCAGAAATCAGCAGCAGCAACAACAACATCATCACAACAACACAAACGGCAACAGCAGCCACAATCATAGCCACAACTACCAGGGGCAGCATCCGCTGGCCGCGATGGCAGCCTTCCAACAACGGCAACGACTCCAGCAGCGTCTGCCATGCCAGGCACTGGCCTGGCCACCGTCCGCACCCGTTCCGGGGACAATGTTGCCGCCACCGCCTTCAAATTTACAATTACGTGGCGCAGGGGCGGCTCAAACGCAGCCACCGCCGCTGCTCTCGGCGCCGGCCGCCTTCGGACAGCCCAACTATTTTGCCGGCCAACTGCATCATCCACATCATCATCACCAGCAGCATCATCCTCATCATCATCATGGCGCATTATTGCCGCCACCGCCGCCGCCGCCAGCGCCTGCGCGCTTTGCCGCACCACACACGCCACCACATTCGGGCGCTCCGTCCACCCATGGCCATGGCGCCGCCTTCGATTTCTTCAACGCCAAAATGCTGCTCAATAACTGAGCGATCGATCAACTTGTCTATACAAGCCACATAGATATTCGAATAAGCTAACAGTGCACTTAATTGTTGTACTTAAAACCCAGAGTCAGTCAGTCAGTTAGTCGCCCCAAAAACAAAAAAGCAAAAACCAAATAATAAATCTCAAAATGTGCAGGAACACACACACACAGGCTAAAGAATCATGAGGATGTGGCGCACAATTCTCTGCCCAACTCATCAACACTTTGCCAGCGCGAGCAAATCAAATATTTTTTATAGCAATATTTTCGTTTTGCAGACAAAAAACCTTTCGTTTAAGCGAATTTATTATTTTGTAATGTGGCAAGACCATTTTTTAAGTATTTTACTTATTGCTCTATAATTATTATTGATTTACACGCATATATATATACATAAATATATATATTTTAAGTATATATTTTAGTTGATATTTTAAAGTTAGGCGAGTTGCAAACCAGTACCAAGTGCTGAAGAATACTCCAAAGCTTTGTTTATTTAGTTTTAACAAGTATTTGTATACAAATATTTGTACTGTTTTAATTTTTATGCATCTGCCATAAATGTGTATGTTAATTTGTATAAGTTTTTTTTACATTTTATTTCATATACATAGTACATTTGTTATTAAACAATGCAGCACAGCCGCTAGCAGAAGCAGAGGCTGGGTTTACATTGAAATCGCTCGTAAATTTCTAAACTTTGGACCAATCCAACAACCAATGGCGCATTAAATTCAAAGCTTAGTGCACGCCAAAAGTATTAAACAACAACAAAAATTATACTATTGATTTTGTTATGTTCATGAAAACCCACCGCTTGCTGCGCGTTACAAAAACTATTACTTAAAAAAAAAAAACAACAAGAAAAAAACCAAACGAGAACAACAATTTCACTTTGAAAAGTTTACGCTTTTTCGTATAATAACTATTAACTAAAGCAAAGAACAACAACAACAACCTATACGATCATTCCATTTTACTAAAGTTGTGCAAAATGAAGGTTGCCCTCCTTACGCATTTAGACCTTCGGCTACTTCGGTAAACAATGTTTGTAAATTTCATTAAAGCCTAAGCTTACAATTAATGTTTAATATTAAAAACAAAACAAAAACTTCATTATAGCTAAAGCGAAAACAAACACTTAATTTGGCCTTATTAACAATTATTTTAACTTTAATGTGCGTAGTTTTAGGCAACAGACACGTTTAAAACCCTACTATAACTTAGCAACTAATTAACATAACAAAAACGTAAAATAACAAAAACTACACTTTTGGAAAAGTCTCATTAAAAATTTATTAGAACAATTCAGTGTGCGTATTGATGTGAATGATAAAACAAAAAGAAGTTGAAAAAAACCCAAAACTATTAACTAAAGAAATGTTTACGAGGACAATAAATTTATATAAATAATTAAAATGCTTTCAAATTTCTGCGCAAACTCAATTCAATTCAAATAGTTTACAGCTCGCATACCCGCTCGAAAAAAGCAACGATATACAACAACAAGAAGAATATGAAAAAGGTTTCCAGAACAACGAACATTTATTTTTAATGTTTAAACACGAAAAAACAACCCACGCGTTTAAGTATGTAATAGTTTTTGCTTTTCCAAAACGATACGCAAAGAAAGAAATCAAAAAAAATTTATATATACATAAAATATGCATTTATTACTTAATTAATTTTTATATTTGTATTTTTAAACACTCAAAAATATGATACACAAATATATGAATATATTTATATATTTTTTGTAAATTGTTTCACAACCAACAAGCTAGAGAATCCAAAAAAAAAAACCACAACACAACGCGCAACTGTAACATAAAGAAGGAAGCAGCCTGCACCCGTTTAGCATAAATTTAATATTTAAACAATTAGCCTAGTTAATATTAATAACAACAACAACAACATTTTTCATAAGCGTTAAAGTTTTTGCTTTAAAATAACAAACACTTTTTGTGAACTTGCGTTTGCCACAAAAACAGCTAAAAGTCAAGTCTTTATAAATGTTAACTCCAAATATATATATAACTGAATGAATTAAACAAATATATATATAAATACATATATATAGATATACATGTATATGTAAGCGCAGATATTTTGATTGTGAAAATATTTGCACTCTAGGGCCTTATATGAGATACACACACACACTTGTTAGTTATTTAAATTACAACTAATTATTATTATCCAACACCCGCAACTACTTTTTGTACACTCTCCGTTAAAAGTTATCCGACTTGTCCCACTTTTTATGTAAATACTCGTAAGCGTGCGGAATTCTAGTTAGATTCGATTCTGTTTTCACTCTGTATTATTATTTGTTTTAATTTTTACATTCTATCGCAGATATACATAGTTTTTATGTTCAGTTATGCATTGAAACGGCATCAGATGTTAAGGAAGGGAAACCCAACAACTCTAATAACAAAATAATGAAATAACTTATAATAAATATATTATGCATAATTGTATTTTACTCAACTTAAGCAAAGAAATGAAAACAAAACATAAACATGAACAAAGCAAACTTTTTGTCTTGATAACTTTACAAGAACTATTATAATTATTACATTTACAATGTGAAAATAAAAACAAAAACAACAAATTATTAAATTTATGTTCGCATTTGTATTCATTTATGGTGGCTGGATCGATCTTTCGAAATGATTTTAGTGGTTCTTTGGTTACAGGGGGTCAGGCTCTAACTTCGATAATATATCCAAAAAGAAACAACGATTATACTATAGATACGTCGGAAACAGAAATCTATAAAAACCATCAATTTTACGACATCATAGGTTATATTTTTCTCATTATTTTCATAAAAATAGATTAGTTTTTGAGCCGTAAAAATTTCAAGGACATTTTGACACAAAAAGGGAACATATTTATTAAATGAACAAAATTGATTCAAAAAGAAATAATAATAATAATAAACAAAAAAAGAGTGCGATGCCAGGAAGCGGGTGGCGTAGTCATAAAATTCCAAAAACAATTGACCGCTAATTTAAATATTTCGCTGCTCTAAAGAAGACAAAATGTTCATAAACAAAAAAAACATATTAAGAAAAAGAAATCAAAAATAATAATAATTAAAAAATATTGCAGAGCACTACTTGTGGTGTTCACTCCTAAACGTGTGAAATCAAAATAAAGAAAACATCGAAATCAGTTAAATAAAAATTCTTATTAAGAAAAATTAATAAAAAATAATAATTAAAACATATTTCAGAGCACTACTAATGATGTTTACTCCTCGGCGTATAAAACCAAAATGAAATTGAAAAATGAATTGAATGAAAGTTAATTTCTTGTCTCCACAGCCTGCTCCGATAAAAAATAATATATTTTGCTGCTCAAAATCAAGTAACGATTCTATGAAATCGATAACGATATTTATGAAAATTAGTGTACATATTTTACTTCGGTCATAGCTTGCTGACCACGCAAAATATTCAAGGAAAATTTGACAAAAAGAGAAAATAATTATTAAACAAAATTTATTCAACCAAAAAATGAACAAACATAAAGGAATCCTGAGACGCGGGTGACGTAGTTATAAAATTCCAAAAACAATTGAGCGCTAATTTAAATATTCCGCTGCTCTAAAGAAAACAAAATATTCATGAAAAAAAAAACATATTAAGAAAAAGAAATCAAAAATAATAATAATTAAAAAATATTGCAGAGCACTACTTGTGGTGTTCACTCCTAAGCGTGTGAAATCAAAATGAAAATTCAATGAGTGTCAAATTTTTCATCTCCGCACAGGCCTGCTGCGATAAAAAATATATTTTGTTGTTCAAAATCAAGTAACGATTCGAACTAATCGATATATAGGAAAATAGGGTACTTCAGGATAATCATAACATGCTGAGGAAGAGCGGCAATGCGTGGGTTAAGGCTTCGTGATATCCACAAGTGAGTTGATGCATTAGTCCCTTTTAGACTTAATTTCCATCTGATTGTATAATTTTTCCTTGAAGTACACATTTGCTTTCTTAGCCGATTCTTCATTGCTTGGTCTCTTGTTCCATCCTGCAACGCGCTTGATTAGATAGCAGTTGGACTTGCGTGCAAAGGATAATCAGAATTGGACACTGTGGTTGTTCCTGCTTCTTAGCCATCACCATTGATTGGAAAAGCCAGAAATTGTTGCAATGAAAACACAATCTACTCATCACATTTTTGATATGATTTCATTTTCATTTATTAATTTGTTATAGTAAATTAATTGGCCAAGGCACACGTTTTTGTTTTTTTTTTTTGTTTCTTTCATTAATTTAATTAGTTTTCCTCTCACTTTTCTCGCACATTCAAAACAAACTCAGGCGCTTTTCTTTATAAAATTTTTTCAATTTCTGCGCTCGTCCACATGCACTTTTTTCAAATTCCTTTCAGTTTTCAACGAACTTATATGACAAACAAAAAAATTGTTACTCTTGCTTACAGAATAGAATTAAACTAAATTATGGTTAGAAGTTTATAAACTAAAAAACATCTTAGCGCTAACAGTTTATTGATAAATAAAAATGTATTGCATATACTCGTATATAAAATTTACTTTTACAGTTTACTTCAACGTTTACATTATGTATATATAGTTTTTATATGTATATGAATTTTTGTTTGTTTGTTGCTTTCTTTTTTAGAGAATTTCTGTTGAACTTTATAAAAAACAATCTGATTTGGCATTCAACAACAAGTTCGTCTTACAAATTATAAATAGGGTATACCATAGTATATTTTTTTATATATATATTATAGTTTGTTCTTTCAAGGGGGGCGCTTCCCAATTAGAAATTACATAGTACAATAAGCAGTGATAGATGTGGAGTTGATAGATAATGGGAAGCGCGCCCGCGGGCATAACAGTAGCTAGTTTTGAGTTGTAGAAGAGTAGGCTTATAAGACCCGCTTATATCGCTAACTTAGTGCGATGCTGTCTGTACGCGTTGTAGTTATTCTTGTTGTGGTTGTTGTTGTTGTTATTCTTGGTCATTGTACGTTATTTGTTGTGGTCGTTGTTTGTCAAACATAGGTTTGCAATTTAGAAGAGGGTAGTGGCCCAACTAATCAGCCTGCTGAAATAGTTGCCACCAATATAAATAATTGGTCCAGTATTTTAGTGTGATTGTGAAAGTTGTTTTTAGGTTTAAATTCGCTTTTCTTATCAGGTTTCTCATAGGTATTTTCTTTTCATATTTCGTTTAAGGCGTATGTATAGCATTTGAGCACCAGAAATTGGTTCCATCAAGTTTACATAAAAATTAACATGCACATTATTTTCTGCATCATTCAATTATCCTCACCATCATCATCGTCATTTATCAGCATAGATATATAACTATTACATAATCTATATATATGCACATATGTATACATATATTTGTAGATTTTACAAATTACTAGTTTACAGCAAATCAAAAGTTATGACTCATTATTATTTTTGTTATTTGTTTTCCATTTTAATTTATTCAGTTCATGCTTTTCAAGCATATATGTATTATGTATATATATCGTGTGTTTTTGTTTCACTTCTCCTTTCTGTATAATTTATTAAATAGTATTGAGTTTTAGTTCTTGCCATTGTGTCACATCCAATAAAAAATTCTAGACATGTTTGATAAACAAATTCTACTAAAAAGAGCACTAAAAAATATATTTATATATATATAGTATGTAGCTTTTAAAACTGCTTAACAGCGCCGCTGTTAACGCGCTGTTATCGCTCTGTTAACAACAATATGCAGATTTTTCTTAGGGTTTTTTTTTTTTAAATTTGTTTTTTTTTTTTTTGTGACTATTTGACTAACAAGTATTGCCAATGATTGTAGACGGTTCGGTTCAGCTGTTCAAACATAGACCGGCGCCTGATCGTCCGTCATGTCTGCGTGCTGCCAGTCAAAAAATCTTCTAAAGGTAAATTCGTAAAAACCATGGGATTGCCTGTCATTCATATCGATGTCATCGCCGCTGCTCATGTTGGAGTCGTTGGAGCGCAGCTTCTCCGTATCAACGGGATCAAAGTTGGATGTATCCGTAGGATGCTTTATTTCAGGTATGTATGGAGCCTTCTGTTTGCGCATATCCGCAAAATCAATGCCCTTAAAGAACTCGTGACCCTTCACCTCATCGACGCTTTTGCCCAATCTCTTATCAGCGGAGGCGCACAGGCGACGTATAAGATCGCTGGCCTCATGTGTTAGTTTAGCCTCTGGCGGTATATGCAGTGTTTTCTCCCAGTTGATGACCTGCAAGAGGACACTAAGTGAAAACCAATTTCTCATTTATAATGAAATGTCGCACCTTCTGTTGCGTCTCCAGCGGCGTATTGGCCAAGAACGGAGGCTGTCCCACCAGCATCTCATAGAGAATGACGCCAACACTCCAATAGTCGCACAATTGTGTATATCCGCTGCGTTCCAGCACCTCCGGCGCTATATAGTTGGGTGTGCCGACCAGCGAGTGTGCCAGTACTCTTTGGTGATCGCGTATGCGTCGTCTAAAGGGAGAAATTATTTATTAAACTATTGGATTATCTTATGAAATTGCATTGTTAACTCACCTCTCCAATACAGTTGGCCTCCTGCCATTCTCAAGGTATTCCTCCCAAGGTTCCATCGAGTCCTGGCGCGAATGATTGCCTGTTGGAGCGAAATTATTAGAGTTATTTTAAAAATTTCAAGTTTAAAAAGGTATCTGAAAGAAGTGGACCCTTCTGTATGTCTTAAGATATCCCCGAAAACGAATACCATTTAATGGTTTATATAAACGTTCCGACTTATTATTTAAATTAAACTCCTGGATATATACTTTATAAAGCTTTGATGAGATAATATAACGGTTCGAAATCTGAATCTGTAACGAATATATATATATATATATATATATATATATATATATATATATATATATATATATATATATTAGATCTAAATTACTCTTTAAATATTATGTTAGGGCTACTTAAAGATAGGTATGGAAATTTTTGTCTGAGCTTTTATTTATTTTTGGTATATATATATATATATATATATATATATATATATATATATATATATATATATATATATATATACCAAAAATAAATAAAAGCTCAGACAAAAATTTCCATACCTATCTTTAAGTAGCCCTAACATAATATTTAAAGAGTAATTTAGATCTAATAGATTTAAGGAATGGTTATGAGTGTCGGGTACCTATAAAGTAAAGCAACACAAATTTGTTCAAATCGGGCTAGAAAAGTAAAGCCAATAAAGATTTGTTCCAGTGGAAAACTATATTTATTGTTTTCAATTAAATTAACGTAATATTCTCGACGCTCGTGTGCAAATTGTCTATAGACTCTCTCCGAAAAAAATGGATTTATGTGCCCTGTTTTTAGCATAAGTACCCAGATGAACAAGAGCTCTGTTGCACCTTGGGTCTGTCCCATATTTTTATACCCTGTACCCGTAGGGTAAAAAGGGTATATTAGGTTTGTGCAAAGTATGTAACATACAGAAGGAAGCATCTCCGACCCCATAAAGTATATATATTCTGAATCAGCATGACGAGAGAAATCGATCTAGACATGTCCGTCCGTCCGTCCGTCTGTCCGTCTGTCCGTCCGTCTGGATGAACGCGAGGATCTCAGAAACTATAAAAGCTAGAATAACCAAAGTTGGCATCCAGATTCTCCTAGGTCCGAGAAAGGACGAGTTTATTTTATTTTTTTGAATTTTCCCCCCCTTCCCCCGCTACAGAATTTCGTCAATAGCGTCCACATTTCAAATGCTACCTAAACCAAACTTTGCACACATAATTTCTATATAATTGTCTACTGTTGTTCAAAATTTTATTCAATTCGGTCAATTCTAAGAAAAGTTATTAGCGAAACAAATTCTCGCCAGTACAACCTCCCCAAACTGCAGCAACAAGTTCGCTCTTCTTCTTCCTCTTTTTGCTGCTTTGGGCGCATATAACTCAGTGGCGGAAGTTTACCTGGGTACAGGGTATTACACTGTCGGGCTTGCTCGACTGTAGCGTTCTCTCTTGTTTTCGGTAATCCACTTCCTTACGATTAAGCAATTGGAATTAAAATTAAAGTAGAATCTACAATCCAAGTTTGGACAATACGAGCAAAGCTGTTTCTGAAATCTAGGTTCATCCAGACAGACGGAAATGCCTAGCTTAATGATGATTAAATTTGGTTAAATACGCACCATTCTCCTGATAATATTTGGAGTTATGAGTCCAGCGAAAGCCTGTGCACAGACCAAAATCGGTCAGTTTGATGTGCCCATCACGATCGATTAGTATGTTGTCAGGCTTGATGTCCCTGTTGCAGAAAAGTATAAATGGGCATTATGAGGAAACGTTTGGTAGGACTCGGGAATATGTATGCACAAACCTATGAATGAAACCCATTTTGTGCACACTGTCCACCGCGCAGGTAATCTCAGCAATATAGAAACGAGCCAGTGGTTCCTTAAATATGCCCAACTTGATCAACAAAGACATCAGATCGCCACCTACAGATAAAAGAAATGAGATCGTTGAAGAAGAATGTGGGAGAAGAAAAATGTTTGCAGTTAAACTTACCGGGAATATAGTCCATCACAAAGTATAGGTTGTCCTTATCCTGAAAACTATAATAGAGTTTGACGACCCAGTTGTTGTCGGCCTCGGCCAAAATATCACGTTCCGCCTTCACATGAGCCACCTGATTCCGTTTCAACACCACCGCCTTGCGCAGCGTCTTCATCGCATATAGATGATTTGAAGTATCGATTTTACGCACCAGCGTTACTTCGCCAAACGCACCCACACCAATGGTCTTGATTTTCACGAACATGCTCTTGTCCATCTTGGCCCGTTTCAGCCGGATATAGTTGCTCTCCTTCTGATTGAGCATCTTACGCATCTCGATTTGCGTCTCATCGGGCAGTCCAACCTTGATCATCTCCTTTTCCAGCTGATTCTTGCGGAACGTGCGCTGTCGATAGGACTTGATGACATTCTCAATGTGCTGTTCCATATAGAATTTGAAGGCCTGCGGCGAGTACTGACGTATGCGGCACTCCTTGCGCTCTTCCTCCTTCTCCTTGGAGATTATCTTTCGCTGCGGTTTGGGAGAGGCATGCTTAATCTTTTGGCAGCTTGCTGCTGAGGCCGCCATAGCGCCGGCGGTGGAGGAGGAGGAGCCGTTGCTGCCGCCAGAGCTATTGCCATTGCCGCCGCCGCTGCCACCACTGCCGGTGCTGAGCTTGGCAGGTGGTATGGGTGGTGTGGTGCCTAGGTTGCTGTTGCTGATCTGCACGTTGTTGTTGTTGCTCATGCTGGGCTTGCTCTCCGGCACGTTATTATTGTTGTTGTTGGTCTGATTGAGCTCGGGAGTGGTGACACGTGCGCTCTGGTAGGGTGGTGGTGGGGGTAGCTGCCTATTGGGGTTGCCATTGTTGTTAAGTGGCAACGGTGGTTTCTGTTGGTGTTGTTGTTGCTGCTGCTGCTGCTGCTGCAATTGCTGCTGTTGTTGTTGTAATTGCTGTTGTTGCAGCTGCTGATGTTGTTGCTGCTGTTGCTGCTGCTGTTGTAGTGCCCGTAGAGCCTGCAACTGTTGCTGCGGCGGTGGTTGCGGCTGCTGATGTTGGTGTTGTTGGGCGGTGGCTGCCTTCGCCTGCATGCTCTTGGCATAGGAGGGTGGTTCCATGCAAGCAGGCTTTCCATTCAGCGGATTCGCCAGCAGTGGTGGTGTGGTGGGTGTGGGTGGTTTAACTGCCGTTACTGGCGTCGGCACCAGCAGCGGTGAATGCTGCTGGGCAGCGGCTGCGGCAACAGCTGCTGCCTGCGCCTGTTGTTGTTGCTGTTGCACCACCGCAGCAGACTTCTGTGGATAGGAGGGTGGTGCAGAGAGCACATGCACCGGTGAATTGCTCGCTGAGGCGGTTACCGGTGACTGTGGTGCCACAGCGGTTTGCAGCACAGGTTTCTGCACCTGTGTCGACTTGACACTCTGCATTATGATCGGCTGTTGGGTGCGTGCTTGATAGGTACGTGGCTGTGGACGCGCCACACTGCTGCTGGAGCTTAATGGCAACATGCCACTGCTATTTGTGACCGTTATGGGGCTCGGGGAGCCGGCCGAGGTGGCTGAATAAATGCCACTACTGGGCGACTTGCGATAGTCCGACTGTTGTGATTGTGTGGGCGATTGACGTGACTGCATCGATGCTGTGTAGCTGGGGGGAGGTGGTGCTGTGCTCACCACCACCGTGTTGATGAGATATGGCGGCGGTGGCTCAACCACGGCACCACTGACTGCACCTGGAAACATGTTCATCGCCTTCATCTGTTGCGTGAGCTGTTGCTGCGCCTTCATACCGTTCTGTGGTATCACCGGAGAGGTGCCACGTGTGGTGCTCGGCGCTATAGCCATTGCAGGCGCTGGCCGCGAAAGCGCCGGCGATCGACGCTTATATGCCGGATTGGATGGTGGCAGTGGCGGTGTCGCTGAGCTGCCGGCTGTGTGATTACGCGGTGGTGGCGCTGGCGGTGCCGCATCACTGAAGCTCGACGGGGATGGCGAGTACTGGCCGGTGGTGGCGCGACTGTTAATCTGCTGATGGGAGTGCGGACTGTCCGACCGTGAGCTGCCAGCGCCCGAATCCATAGCAGGACTGCTGCGCAAATAGTGCGTCTCCCGCTCAATGCTCGGCTTACGAATCAGCTTGGGCGGTATGAGCACATTCATCATCTTTGGCACATGTCCGTTGGCCGCCACAACGACGTCGGGTGAGGGTGACGCCGAAGGTGGCGGCTCCATCGGCGGCTTCGAGTGCTGGTAGTCGGACGCATCGGTGCGGCCATTTACGGCGGTGTAGCGTAGTGGTGTGTAGCTCTGTAAAAAAGAAGGGGAAACGAGATAAAAGAATGATAACAATTTTAATTCAATTGTTTAGAATTATATTATAGAACTTAAAATATTCAGAGTCGATTAGTACATCAATTATATGGCGATCTGCAGCCCTAGCAGTACGGTTAAATAATTTGATTTGTAAGCCTAACCCTACGCCTACGTCACTGTCTATGTAGGAATGCCGCCGTGAACAAAAAAAATATGCATGTAAAGTAGCCGCCACAATCAAAAACTAAACAAAAGGCGCATACACAAAATAAAAACAAAGAGGCAAAAGCGAAAAACGCCTCAAAGAGAAGGCAGAGGAAAATAGAAGAAGAAGGCGGCAGGCAGGAAGGCAATGAAACGAAATCAAATTCTTGCCATCGCCGAAGAAATTCCTGCAATATCAAGCGAACGAACAAACGAAAGAATGAGCGAGGGAGCGAGCAAGCAAAGAAACCAAGAGAGCGCGGAGAGAACAAAAGCAATAAGAACAACAACTACTACATTGTGGATCAACATCGCATTTTGTTGATCGCCGGCCGCCAGCTGCCAGATGTGCGAACAAGGCACACATACACACACATACATATGTGTGTATGTATATGTTTGTATGCATACATACATATGAGGCGCATTGGGGCAACCTTCGGCATGTTTATGTTGCCCAGATTCTTTGCTCCCGCTGGTTTTGTTTTTATAATGCAGCTACCAGTTTTACGCGTTCTGTTACTCCTTTTGTCCCTTCTTCCTATTGTCCCCACATCTACACTATATGCCCTTTCTTTACTCGCACAACTTTTGACAGAGTGCCATGCGCCAAAGGTATTTTAAGTCCGACTTGACAAGCGACTCGATTTCTTTCCTTTGTGTTTTAACATAAATCGATAGATTTTCGTAAAACTCTAAGCGTCGTATTTTAAGATTGGAAGATTTTAAGATACATATATATCCATCCCAATAAAGCAATTAAAAAAAAAAAATTGTATGAAAAATCTATGCAATTTGTCAGCAAATTCTTAGATACATGAAGCCATTGATTTTAAGGCTTGGTGATTTCTGTTACCGATTTATAAAGTCGATGCTAATTGTGGACTTACATTACTATGCTAGGGGTATTCGAAATAATAGTTTAATTTTGTGTGGAGAAATACATAGTTTCTAAATATTAAAAAGTTTAATGTAGACGTACAACAGATTTTATAAAAATAATTTGAAATTCCTTTTCAAATTAGATCATTCGAAATAATAGATTAATTTTGTCTGGCGAAATAAGTAGTTTCTTCATATTGAAAAGGTTATTGTGGTTTAGTTTTTTAAATTTTTTTTTAAATAAATATAAAATTATGAAATTCCCACAGAGGTAGAGCTATTTAATATTTTCCAATTTAGTCACACTTTTGTGGTTGTTTGAAGGAAACAAAGCATATTCAGATTAATCCTCTATAAATACTAGCTCCTAATACTAATTTACATCAGTTGTTTTTATTATAATTTTATCCTCAGATCGCTGTAAGATTCTAAATAAATGAAAAACAAATTCTTATTTCAGTACAAATTTTATCAAATTTGATTAAAATTTTGTTTTTTTTTTTTGAGTTATTTTAGATAAAAAGATGCTTGAAAAAACCAAATATTGCACCAAAAATTCAAATTATTTCAATTAGCTAGTAAAGAAAAAATCTCCAAAATCTATTTAAATAATTATGTAAACGATATGAAATGAAGTCATACGAAGAGAAAATAGGTGATAATATTCCTTTCCTCACATGAATACATATTTGTTTTCAATTAGCTGACAATCTGTATTCTGAAGAAATTAAAACGAAGGACACGAAACCCAACAAAAGCCTGTCTGTCACATCTGCATTTGCAACATGCTTACAAGAAAGCCAATTTACGGGAAATTAGCAAAAGCCAATGGGCGCACTAAATCAGCCAACGAATTGGCGAACGGCCCCCCACAATGATGGTGGTGAGGCCGGCCGCCTACGCGAATTTTCGCGTTATTTTCAAATAAAATAAATTGGATTTGCAAACGCTTTCGCTAATCCATTTAAGCGCCTCGCTGCAATCGCTTTTGGCCACACAGCAACTGAGCGACAATTAAAATAATAAAAACAAAGACAAGGGCATGACCCAGAGAGACAGACAGATAACCAGATAGATGCGGCAAGCAGCCAAACTGGCGGCCAGATGCTGTTGTTGCTCATTAGACTTCTAATTGAGTGTTCGTTGTAAGTACTGCTTATTACCTTGACCGAAATAACTTTGAACCTGACATTTGTGCCAGCTCCGCACACACATTGATGATGATGTACCGTTAGATCAACTAGACAACCAACAATTTTCCGCTGGCATTCTTCAGAGCGTGTGCCCGCCCCCACGCAAAGAATCAACAACAACAACAATATCGGGAGCAAAAAAAAAAAAATTTAACCATGAAAAGCGAGGCGTATAATTTGCCTAAAATCGCGTACTGCGAACGCCAAAAAATACATCAAAATTCTTGGCAATAAGCAAACATTTCGTATTTGAATGTAATATTGTTGTTGTTGTTATTGTTATTGTCTTTCGTTATTATTAGAGGGAGCATTCTTTTCGGCTATGTGTTGTTGTTGCACAAATTATATATACTTATTCGTTTAGGTGAAAATTCCTAAGAAAATAGCTACACGTCCAAATGGCCAACAGAATGCGACAAGTTCGCACGAAAAACGCGCACAAAACGCGGGGTAACATCGCGCGCGATTAAAGACGCGTCAAGCATTATTTTTTTATTTTAATGGGATTTTCAAAAGGCTGCTAAGACATATTGTTGTTATTATTATTTTTTTAGTTATATTAAGTTTTCAAATTTCAATGTTTTTTATTTTTCAATTTCAAACTTTTATGTGGAATTTGGAAAATCGTATTAATTGGTGCTTGTTCCTTTTCTCTACTTTTGTTTTCACTTTTTAATTTTATTTTAATAAATCAACAAATTGTGCTGATTACAATAACGTTGTATTATAGTAAAATATATTACAATACAGATATAGAATAAACTACTATATGTAATTATTCTCAGAAGACCCGAGGTTTGAACACAAAAATAACAGGAAATTTAGAAACTTTGAAAATTAGTCTTTTGTGGTTAAGTTACTTATTTTTACAATTTTTTTTTAAATTTTTATTTTTATTTTTGTAATACTCATTTTGAAGTATTCTGCCATAGAATTTTCTTCACCTGGGGTTACTTTATTTATTTTTGTTTTGTTTGTTACAACAATAACCACATGGACTGAATTGATTTGCAGAGTCTGTAGAATGCTGTTCAGACTAACCAATTGTCTGCAGCAGACAATTGTTCAACCAACGCAGAAGACTCGATTTCGCAGACGAGGTTTACACGTGCAAGTCAATAGTCTACGTGTCTGACCGTAGCTGAAGTCAAACTAAATATTTAATATGTTTAATCTATAGCATATTGAATAGTGTGGCTCCTTATTTAGTTAATTAATTGATTAATTAATCTGGGTAGTTTAATTTAGTTACCTATTATGGGAGTACCTTCGACTCTCAGAGGTTACGCATGCGCTTTTGTTAGCTCATTTATTTTCATTTATTCATATAGTCATATTTTCAATATTAAGTTTATTAAAATTTTTGTAAAGTGCCACTCGAAACGCGTTGGCGTTGCCATTGATAATGTTTGTTAAATTTATTTATTGACGATTGTTATTTTAATTAATTTTTCATCAGTCTCACGCATATTTTGACTCGATTAGGGTGTGCAACGCTTTTGTTATACATACCGTTGTTGTTGCTGTTGTTATTGTAATTATTAGGTTCGTGTCTTTGCTATTAATATTTATAGCATTGTCAAATGGTAGCCGGCTGGCCAAAGTGCCGCCAAAACGTTGCGAGTAGGCGTGAACATGGCCGCTGAAAAAGTGTTGAGCGCTCGCCGCAACGCTTGCCAGCCAATGCATAAATTGTTGTTACTTTTTTGTTGTCTTTAAATTTTATTTATGTATTTATTTAGCTATCTCGCATTTGACTGTGGACTACTGCCCACATATGGGCAGGCAGGCGTCTCTATATATGGCCAGATTATGGGCCAAAGCGCTGACTTGGTATTTAGCGCGCGCGCTCGACTCCAACAATTAGCCGGGCCATTGTATTCGATCGTTCGAATGCCAAATGTTGACAATTCGACCTGGCCGGCCCGGCCCGGCCAGTGGCCACTCGCCTATTCAATGACTCAAGAGTTATGGTCGCGTGTAGGCAGCGAAAGCTGGCCAGAAAAAACACAAAAAAAATATAAAAAAAAATATAGCAGAAAGAAACAAATTTCTACGCCAATGCCAATTGCAGCATAAAATTGTTGGCCTGTCAAAACGATGGCTCCGGCACAGTCATAACAATTAGACGCGGCAACAGACGAGTGGCAGATCCGTTCAGGGAGTCACACACTGAGGCAAAAGCTGATTTTTTGTTTGCAGAATTGTATCGAGTGGGGGTAAGGTTATGGTTATGGTTTTTATGGATGACACAGTAGGGCGGTCATTATGAAATTTTGGAAGAAAGTTCGAACATTTCAATTCAAATCGTAATGCTTCCTCTTTTTATGTAAAAACCAAACGACTTTTGTTTCTTAAGAAAAATGATTAAGTTGGTAAAAAGTTGTGCTGAAGTAAACTCCGAAAATACGCATCAGCTTTCGCTATCTAGCAAGGTTTTTTATTGGGTAGTCTCTCTAAAAGCTTTCTGGAAATTTGTTCAAAGCGGGAACAATATAATTATATACTCGTATAAGCAAAAATACCTAGTCCAATAGCTACGGGAAAGAACTGCTCGTATTCGCATAAAATTAATATTAAAATTATAATAATACAATAAATCGATTAATATTGTTCATTTCTTGTTAAACATATATGAGTTTCTGTAAAAGTTACTAATGAAACAAAAAAGGAGAAAATTTTTAAAATATCAAATTTTTTTTGGATACGTAAAGT